TAGCAGAACCTAATATTACTATTTTTTTGGAGATCTTGTAACTAAGGTAAAAGCTATTTATAACCTTATGACCAAGGTGAATTTTGTGGTCTATTCTAATATGGACTGTCCCCAAATTGAGTGACTTCATAAACATACAAGGAATAAAAATGTAAAGATTTGGGAATTACTGAACTGCATTGGCTTGGCAACAGATAGTTAATGACATTAGAAGTCACAACTTTTGACCTTTGAAATGTTAAATTATTTTTTGTAACACATGGAAATTGTCTCATGATACTGGTAGACAACCAGAAATGTGCTTTAATTTACTGGGTAAAAATGTGTGAGAAAGATGCCAGTTATTTCCTGTGCTTCTGCCAAGCATAAATGCACTTTCACAGGCGGAGGAGCAGTGTAAACTGTATAGAAGAAAACTGTCTTGGAGCAACATCATCTGATCATTTGTTGCAGGTGATTTAGAAATTTATGCTTAAATAAATTTATTCTAACATTTATATGTCTATATAGAGGTAGGGATAATTTGTTCCTGAAGAAATAAAAACTGTCCTCTTGTATATATGTGCAGTAAGTCATTATTATTCTAATTTTTATCATGACTAATCCTGTTGTCTTTTTTAGTGTGATTCTTGAAGGGATCTTAGCCATGTTAGGGTTAAATAATTATTTTATTAAATAATTTATTTTATTAAATAATTAAATAATTAGCCATGTTAGGGTTAAATAAATACGTGAAATGAGGATGGTCATATTTTTCTTTACTTTTTTTCTACCTTTGATCTTTATCTCAATTTTCCAAAATTTAAAGTCATTAAAGATCTTAATATTGTTTTACCTTGCGTTTGTACCTCCTATGCTGTCTGAAAGTTGGTTGACGTTCGTTTTCAAAAGTAAACATTCCATTTTGTTTACACTGTATTTTGTTGCAGTGTGTTTTTGTTGGGGAGAGGTATATTGATTTATATATAGAAAATTTAGGGGTACCAGGGTGGCTCAGTCAGTTGAGTGTCTGACTCTTGGTTTTGGCTCAGGTCATGATCCCAGGGTTGTGGAATCAGGCTCTGTGCTAAGTGTGGAGACTACTTGTGATTCTCTCTTTTCTCTCTTAATTACCCTCTGCTCCTATCCCCGGCTCATGGTCTCTTGGTGTCTCTCTCTCTCTCTAAAAAAAAAATTTTTTTTTTGTGGGTGAGAAATCACAAAACAACAGGAAACCAAGTAAAGGAATAGCTCCACTGTAGTTAATTTTGCTGTAGATAGAATATATTAAATAAAACCAAACTGATTGTAACGCTATTCATTATTCTGTGAACATGGCACAGTCTAGGTTCGTGTAGAACTGTATGCAAGAGGATTTAGTTGCTACCAACAGGACTTTTAGATGCTGTGGAAAGACCATGATATTTAGAACTGGAATAAGGTTCTGGCTTTGCTAGTTACCAGCTGGGTAACTTTGGATTATATTATTTAATCTTGTGAATATTTTACTGTACCATGTTTTTAGGGTTAAATGAGATCATGTGACTGTTTTATTGTTATTATCAAGTACCTGATTATTAGTAATTTCAGGTATAGTTGCTATGGAGAGTACTATGTGTATGACTCCAGTAAAGTTTCAACTAAAAGTTGGTTATCAAGGAAAGAATCACTTATATTTTGATGTTTTAATTTAGCTTACATTTTAACTCAAAGGCTTTGCTGAATTATAATACATTTTAACTTGATTTTTAGATATGATGGTCCTTAAAGTATGTACTGGTTTTGGGATGCGTATCACCATTCATAAAGTTCAATACGTCATAGATCGTTGTTCTTTAATTACAAATGTAACCGACTGGCCTCTGAAGGATAATTTTCAGTGTGCTTATACAGGAATAAAAATTGATGTCAGACTTTCATTCAGAAAATATAGAAGAAAATTTGAGTTAGGTGCAGAGGTGCTACAGAAGCACTGTTCCAATTATTTGGTCCACGTAGTTGTAGGTTAAGGGTAGAAGCAAGATAAAATAATTCTGAAGCTATCAGGATATCTTGGCCTTCTTTATCTCCCTTTGCCAATTTTTGATCTATCGTGGTATTTGTAGAGACCAGGAGAAGAGAGTTCTATGTACATAGGTACATTTATTATTGGTGAGATTGGATTATCAGGCACCTGCTTGTTGTATGGCAGCCACTCAGTTAACATTTGAGTGACAAACATGAGTAAATGGAGAGCGGATGGCTAGACTGACACAGGACAGAGGCAGTGTACCCTTGTATCCTAGCAAATTCATGAGTTGTTATGTGTTAAGCTAGGGAAGCACTCATTTATATTGAGATATAGGTAAAGTATCTATATCTTCTTTCAAAGCTTGTTGAAGTTTGAAAAATTCTCAATGGTTCCATGAACTTGGGCAGGTTTGTATTAAACCTCAGTCAGTGAATCAATGAGTATTTTAAGTGCCCAGTGCTTAAATATTTTGTGCTCAGTGCTGAGGAAGAAATAATGACATGCTCCTTGACTTCAGTTTACTCAGAATCAGGAAGCAATGATGAACAATACAAGACGGTGTATTTTTAAAAAACTATAGTAAATACACATAACAATTTACCATCTTAACCATTTTTAAGTGTGGAATTTAGTAGTGTTAAGTATATTCACATTGTTGTGCAAGGTGTTGTATATTTACATTAAAAATAATTTGAGAAGGAGAGAGGTTAAATGCAGGGAAGTAGTATTCAAAATGTACTCCATGGGGACGCCTGGGTGGCTCAGTTGGTTAAGCATTTGACTCTTGATCTCAGCTCAGGCCTTGATCTCAGGGTTGTGAGTTCAAACCCTGTGTTAGTCTCCACATTGGGCATGGAGTGTACTTAAAAAAAAAGAGACAAAATGTACTCCGTAACACCACTCCAAATCCAGTTTTATTTGAAGAAACATTCTATGTATCTATATTTTTATTAAGTTTGAAAACTGCCACTATTAGAATTTGGAGAGGGAGAACAATAAATTATTTAAGGGCAGACTAATCAGGGAAGGCTTCATGGAAGAAGAGGACTTAAACTGGGCCTTAAAGAAAAATTCGGAATTGAGTGGGTTGTGGGCAGGGAAAAGGGAAGACATTCTACGAGAGGGAACCAGGTGAAGTTCAGCAGTGACAATGAATATGGCCTGTTTATAGATCTATGAGAAGACTTACATTATTAGAATTTATTATTTGTGTTGGGGGTGAATGGTGTGACAGGTAGGATAGTGTAATGTTTCTCCAAATGTATTCCACTTACCATGAATGTTGTGGAGAAGGAAGGGAAGGTAAATTCATGTTTGTTTGTTTTTTTTAATCCCCTGCAAGTCTTCTGTAACATTTGGATGCTTCTATGCACTCAGAATCTTCTAAAAGTTATAGCCAACATATTTTAATTTGACCAGAGGTTGCTTTCCCCATTTGGAATCATTATTTCCTGGACACCTGTTTGAAAAATGTATATACCACCTGCAAGTTGTATGACTTGATCAAGAAATTTAAACTGCCAAATCTCCCCTTCCCACTTTATGAAGATCAGTTAAAATCACAGTGTATGTGAAGTGTTTGTAAATACATTTAACAAATAGAGTATGTGCTGTAATATGCTAGTGACTGAGAGCTATATAAGTGTAAGGGAAGTTTATTGAACTATAGAATATTACATGCATATAACCCTTCTACATCCTTGCTATTCCAAATATGGTTTGTGGACATTAGCATCTCCTACATTGCAGTCTTGTTAGAAATGTGGAACCTTAGGGGTGCCTGGTACCGGTTAAGCGTCTGACTTCGGCTCGGATCATGATATTTCGGTTCGAGTGTTGGAGCCCTGTGTTGGGCTCTGTGCTGACAGAACAGATTCTGCTTCAGATTCTTGTCTCTCTCTGCCCCTCCCCTGCTCACGCTCTGTCTCTCAAATATAAACAAACATTAGAAAAAAAAATGTGGAACCTACTGAACCAGACCTACTGAATTAGAACATGCATTTTATCAAGATCAAAGTGATTCATATACACATTAAAATTTGTCATATGCTGTTCTTCATCATATCCAGCAAAACTTCATTCCATCCTTTCTTGAATGTGTTAATGGCAGAGAATTTGATAATTTTCAAACACAAGGTTTACTGTCTTGAAATTCTAGCCTTTGGTCATAATTTTGTCTTAAATTGCCTTAATATCTTAAATGAGAGCCATTTATATGTAAAAGATAAGTTTATGTTTATCTGATTCCCTCATAGAATGTGTCCCTTAAAATTGATCATCATACTGAGTAACTTGGCCAGAGATTTGAGTGGAAGTTACCGAAGTTCTTTCACTTTATATATGGAGCATTTGAGAGTTTTGTGTCACTTGTCTTCCATTGCCTCTGTCACTGTTGTTTTTGTACCTTCTCTTGCCGAGCAATTTAAGTAACCATCCTTCTTAATTTTTCATATTGGGCTATCATTAAATTTCACTAACCTTAGAGTAGCCCTTATGTTCCCATGGAACCAGATTTTAGAGCTCTTCCATGCATATATCCAGTCACTTGGTTAGATGTTTTGCTTACAGGCATAAATTACATTGCATTGTTATCTTCATGTACTATGTTGCCTTTCTCTTTAACAAGTTTTTCAGAAAAATACTGTCTTTTAATTTTGAATATCTAAATAAGATTATTAGAATTGAGCTATAGAGTTCCTTTTAAAAAATTAAGTACTTTTAGTTATTTAAGTATAAATGCTCACTGTAAAAAATTAAAATGATAGAAAAATGTAGAAAGAAGTGAAAAGTCTAACTTTTCCTCTACCTAATCCCATTTCTTTAAGGTTAACTTCTGTTTAGTGCATGTTTCTTTCTGAACCTTTTTTTAATGTACAAAAGGTATATACAGTATATAAAACTTAATAACAAGAAAAGTGGATTTATACAGTGTTCTAAGAATTGGCTTTTTACTCAGAAAAATTAAGCTGATGTCTAGACCTTAATGTAATTAATGTGTTTTTGACTTTAGGGACGAAACCCTTTTTTTTTGGAGCCAGCAATAATTATTACAATTACTGATGGGAGCAAGCTGACTACTACCAGTGGAGTCCAGGATGAGGTAAGTTATATTCCTATCAGCATAGATTATGCAATTGCAGTTGAAAAATTATTATTTGTATATGTACTGTAGGGTACTGAACACCTTAAATAGGTTTGATTATTTGATGCGGTCTAGAGTCACTTGTCTCCTAGTACTTATCTACCTTCTCTGTTCATAGCAGTGATCTCCAGATTTTCTTGAATAGGAATTTCTGTGAAAAACTTTGAGCCTCCCCCCATTCTCCAACTCCACGTGTATTTTTGAGTTTATGTGAGGGTGACAGTGTCAGTTCATACAGTAAATTTAGTGAAAATGAAATCTTATTTTCAGGTTGAAAAAAAATAGGCACAGCACGCTAATAATTTCTTCCATATCTCAGTGGATTGTCATGTGCACTCTACTGTGGAGACTTCTAGACTAGACTAGAGCAAAGCCAAGAGGAGTTTAAGACTAGGAAAACTGAAGGTTTTTAGACACTTTTATTCAAAGCTAGCCTCACCTATTCTCTGCTAGCATTCTTTATGCAGAATTGGTTGCGTGTGGTATGATAGAGTGGCTACAATAGACTTATTTTAACCTTAAGCTGTTTTTACTGTAGTATTTGATACAGTTGACCCTTGAACTGTGTGGGGGTTCGGATTGTCGACTCCCTTATAGTTAAAAATTTGTGTATAGCTTTTGACTGCCCCAAAACTTAACTATTCATAGTCTGCTGTTCATGGGAAGCTTTACCAATAACATAAACAGTCGATTAATCCATATTTTATATGTTATATGCGTTATATACTGTATTCTTAATAATAAAGTAAGCTAGAGAAAAGAAATGTTATTAGGAAAATCATAAGGAAGACAAAATACATTTATAGTGCTGTACTGTGTTTATTGAGAAAAATCTGTATACAAGTGGATGTTTGCAGTTCAAATTTGTGTTCAAGGAGCAACTGTATTTTTCAGAATATATTGATATAGATGGGAGGTGTTTTAGACTACTTTTTTTTTTTTTTTACTGTTTGCATTTGCTTTAGAATCTTAATTCTTGTATTTACAAAGGGTTTAATTAAGTAGGAAGAGTATAGTTTTTAAGTTTAGTAATTTTTAGAAATACTTTCATTCGTGTGATGTTGTGGAATGTCACTTGGACACGGAGTCAGGATGCGTGCGTTCTGGTCTTTGTTCGGTTACTTTCTAGCAGTGAACTTTGTACCAGTTACCTAACTTCTCCAATATGCTTTCCTTGTCCATGAAATAAGTTGGCAATTCTTGCCTTACATCATAATTTTGTTGGAAGACTGAAATGAAATAATATAGGTCAAAGTGCTTGCTAGGCTGTAAAGCAATGAGTGTAGTATTCTATCATGAAACAATGGAACCAGTAGAGTTGTCTTTGCCTGATCTTGAGTTGTGTGGAAGAGAACCAGAATTGTTTTGTTTGAGCAGTTAATGTTAAAGGGAATTTAGGATATAATTCATAGAGATAGAACTGAAAATTTTAGACAGATTAAAATTCATATGAAATAACTTATAGTCTATACATAATTAGTAGCATTGGAATGCTACATAGCTGAACCTAGTGGGTTTTTGGACTTTCTTGAACTAGGTTGACATGCATAGCCAATTATGTCCTGCCACTATCAGGACCCAGGTGGATATTAATTATATATATGAACAAGGAGTAGAATGTTGCTTAACTTTAAATTTGAAACTTTGAAGTTGATTTGTCCCACTTTACTCTCCTTTTGAAAAATTTGAGAGGAAGATTTAGGTATCAATAATCAAATCAGAGGTATTATTATTAGAACCCATAGTAATTTCTTCAACTTTATTTTTTATCAATTAAGTCTTCTGGTGGTTTGTTTGTTTCCTTCTTTAATGATTTTGATTTATAGTTGTGATGGCTGACAAAATATTTCTATTTTTTGTAAAATATTCCTACATGTAAGATTATTCATTCAGGATGCTCTGTCTTGCTGCCTTTGTAGAAATGTCCTTTGGGGTACAATATGTTTTGTTCCTATATAACTGGATTCGTCATGTTTATAATATTTGTTTTGTAGGACCTCCTTTAACTTTTAAACATATTTTGAAGTATAAATGGATATTAGAATTGCTCGTCTTTCTTCCCAGGTTTTTGGGAGGGATATTGGAGAAATGGGACTGTGTGCTTACAGTAATCTAAAACTACCTGGCAAGTAAGATTGGGAAGATTTTCTTGTGGGCAAGCATCTTCCATTTTAGTTCTCTTGTAGCTTCTATGATAGTTAGCCTAGTACTGTGAACAGAGTTTATATTAAAAAATATTGATTATAGATACTATGGTATGAGTTTAGTAGTCCTCAGGATGAAAATTACTATTATTTATCAGAGGCAGAAGATTCATTTGTTTTAAGGCAAAGGTTTATTTTGCTAATGTAGTTGGAACATAGGTCTGTGAGTTGTTTTGGTTTTCAAGGTTAGGAATGTTTTTGATCCTTTGCACATTTGGTTCTTAATGTCTCAACAAGACTCCTCTTGTGGGGCAGAGAGAATGTACCCCAGTGTGCATATAATTGAAATGTAATTTTTGCTAAAATATTGGGAAATGTTGGTCTGTTCTAGCCCAAGTAATTAAATTATGTGTTTCATTTTAAGGTGTCTTTCAATTAATAAAAAGTATAAAGATGCTTTTTGTTTGCTTGTGTGTGTGTGTGTGTGTGTCTGTGAGCATGCATGCACGTGTGCACATGCGTGCTACATGTGATCTATGTTGTCATAATTTCTACTAGACAATGAGAAACAGAATTTTGTCTTTTGTCTCTTCCTCTTCAGATCTCTGAACCTTTGCTTTTGGCAAAACTTGATTCTTTTTTAGATTTATTGAATGAGTGAATATATCAGTGATTTCTACTCTTGTGTATATATAATTTTTGATTGCCTGTGGCTGCTATTGATGTGACCTGTGACTATTTATGGAGTTGTGCGTCCCACCTGACTGATATCCTCTGCTCAAAAGAGTTATACTATCTCACATGGGGTATTATATTTGATGTTATTTTTGATGTTATTTTTCAGGAATACCTGTTTCTGCTGCTTTAAAATCATCCTTATGGCGTATAAGACGACTTAGAGCTCGTGTAGTCTTTTTATTTTACAAATGAGTATATTGAGATCCAGGGAGACAAAGTGATTTGCTCAAGGTTATAACATTTTTTATTGCCAAAATCTGGATTAGAATTGATGTATAAATTCCAAAGACATCCCAGCCCCTCCAGACCAGTGCTTTTTTTCTGTTATATCTCCTGCCTCTATATTTGATTTGTTTTTTTGTTTTGTCCTAAAATTTATCTTCTGTTTACCTGATTTCCTGTTTGTCTACTTCACCTTTCTATACAATTGTGATGTAGACATTATGTTCTTGTTCACTCAGTGCTCATTGAAGACTCTTATGACCAGGGCATTCATTGCTAGGCAATGAGGATACAAAAGATGAACAGGGTAGATCTTTGGTTCTTAAGTTTACAGTCTTATGGGGGGAGATTACTCATTAAATAGTTTTATTAAATAGAGATATATACTAAGTGGGAGCACTAAAGAGGGAGGGGAGTGTTAATATGACCTGTTTTGTGTATGTGTTAAACCCTGTGTACTGTGAATTTTTATCATCATTTAAATTTTCATTGAATTCAAGGGTCTTGTGGATGATTTAGTATTAGGATGTGACTCTTAGCTTGTATCTGAAATTATTATAAAGAAGCCTGGTGTAAAGTTGTTTTGAGCCTAGAAAATAGTTAATAGAAAAACTTGGTGTCATATTGTCTCTTGACCTGGCTAAGTTTGTTGAGGACAGAATGACCCAATTTCTTATAACTTATTTGTCAAAATCATATAGGGATACCATTTCCTCTGTGATAGTTCATCACTTAGCAGTGTGTTAGGAGTTAGGAGACTAACGGTTTTGTATTGCAGACAAAAATCTTGAGCTGTATATGATCGTTTTACCTTATTTCATGACTTTAATTGTCTTTTGGCTTCATTTAATGAAAGTCCAGGTTATTGTCTGACGTGTCATGAGTGTGTTTCTAGTGTAGTACTTCTGAATAACTCTCTAGGACTTAGTGACTGTTGTGTTGGACCAGTATGTGTGTATTTTTTGCTTCTTTTTTTTTTTCTTTTTAAGTGTAGCTATTTGATAAAATCGGTTCACAATATTTTCACTTTTGAGGAGTGAGTTAGATAGGATTTTGAATTCTGATACACAAGAAAACTGTATTGCTTAGCCTCGTAGTAGTATTCTTTGATGTTGATAAGTGTACGTACTAATGGCCAATTACGGTACCATTCATTATGTTTAGTACTGATGTATCAGGTGTTTTGGTAGAATCACAAAATCAGAATTATTGAAAAAATTTCGTTCTGTTTTTAATTTCCTGCAAAGATCCTCCCTAGCACTGTTTTGCAATGGAAAACTATTCTTACTATGATTCCAGGAACACATGGCTAACTATATTGCTCAATAAAGTAGCCAGAAGAAATCCTGCCAGTACCTTCTTGGCGATGAATGACATTCCAGGGTAGTGTAGTAGTTATTTTTCTCTTCCTTGAAAGTGCTAATAGTAGTATTATCTTTCAAATATTGAGATTTCTATATGCTGAAGAATGTTTCTGCATCTCTTTATCAATGTTGTGATTGCCCTGGAGGCTAACGTTTTAGAGAAGATACTTGCAGTAAAAAATAAAATGTTGGCTTTTGACAATAAAAGTTTTGCCTTCTTGGGGCTACTGGGTGGCCCAGTTGGTTAAGCGTCCAACTTCGGCTCAGGTTGTGATCTCACAGTTCGAGAGTTTGAGCCCCGCATTGGGCTCTGTGCTGACAGCTCATCAGAGCCTGGAGCCTGCTTCGGATTCTGTGTCTCCCTCTCTCTCTGCCCCTCCCCCGCTCATGCTCTGTCTCTCTCTCTCTCTCTCTCTCTCTCTCTCTCTTTCAAAAATAAATAAACATTAAAAAAAAGTTTTGCCTTCTTATGACTTTCCCAGCTTTTTAA